TCATTTTGTGATTTTTTTAATATAATTTTTTCATTAACATAGAATGTATTATTTGTGTCAGAGGAACAGGTCTGTGAATCATCAGTCTTAACAATTCACAGCACTCACCATAGCACACACCCTCCCCAATGTCCATCCCATCCCTTCCACGCCTCCTCCCCTCCAGCAACCCTCAGTTTGTTTCCTGAGATTAAGAGTCTCTTAGGGTTTGTCTCCTTCTCTGGTTTCCTCTTATTTCATTTTTCCCTCCCTTTCCCCATGATCCTCTGTCTTGTTTCTCAAATTCTACATATCAGCAAGATGTATGATAATTACCTTCTCTGATTGACTTACTTTTGCGATTCTTTTGAACGTTCATTTCCCTGACAATCACACTGAGCGCCTTTTCATATGCTTGGCTGCTTCTTCGTCTCCCTTTGTTAAGTGTCCGCTCACACTTTTCCCTTTCTTTTTGCATTTGTTTTTAAAAATTTTTATCATTGGGTTGTATTCATGTAAATTATAGATATATTTATAACTAACAAAAGATTGGAATTTTGGATATATATAAGTATATATTTATATTTTATTCTTTGGGGATAAGAGTTTGGGAATTACTTCTATTTCTTCAATAAACATGGAGTTATTCTACCCTCGTATCAGGATTTGTAAGGTTTATTTTTTTCCAAAGCATTTGTCAAGTTCAAATTGAGACAACTAAGTTGTCAGATGCATTGGCATAAAGTTCTCTGTAATGTTCCTTACTGAGATGTTAATAACATCTCTAGAATCTGCAGGGAATGCTGGTTTTGGTTTTTGATACTGCCAGTTCATGTTCTTTTCTTTTCTTGGACTGATTTATCGAGCACATACCAATTTTTTTTTTAAGATTTTATTTATTTATTTGACAGAGATCACAAGTAGGCAGAGAGGCAGGCAGAGAGAGAGAGAGAGGAGGAAGCAGGCTCCCCGCCGGAGAGGAGATGCGATGCGAGGCGAGGCTTGATCCCAGGACCCTGAGATCATGACCTGGCGAAGGCAGAGGCTTTAACCCACTGAGCCACCCAGGCGCCCCAAGCACATACCAATTTTGTTGTTCCTCTTAAAGAACTAACTTTTGGGCTTCTTAAAATATATTAATTGCTTTCTTTTTCATTGATTGGTGCTCCTGTGTTTAGTGTTTCCTCCCTTCTCCTTAATTTGCTAAGTGTTATGTTTTTACCAAGAGTATTTTGGTTGGTTTGTTTAGCAGTCTGCAAACTTGGCTAGATAGAAACTCCCAACTCTTTTCCCTGGGTGGATGGAGGCTTGGTGTCTGTCTGATGCACACACAGATCAGGGACTAGCCAGTGTCTGGAGCAGACTTAATACACAGAATTAGGACCATTCTCCCAGGGCTCTGTCCCTTCTGGAAATTGCTCTTTCATTTTATGGCTCCTGGGGTCACCCCGGTTCTTCGAGCAAGCCGAAAGGGCTGCAGGTTTCCTGAGTTTTAGCGGTCTTACTTGGCTTGGCTGGGGTCTGCCCTTAGATGAAACTGGTAAACAAAAGAAAATTCACTGGCCCTTCTTCCTTTTCCCAAGTGTAGATTCAATTCCCCTCCAGTGTGGACCTGCTTTTGGCGGCTGTCTGGTGCCTTTGGGCTATTGTTTCTTTGTATTTGGTCAAGAGTTTAAAGTTGTTATCTGCAGGCGGGTGGATCCCCTGGGAGCTAATCCTCCGTTATCAGAAGCTGCAAACCACAGTCGGTTAGTTATAATCTCACTCCTCTCCCTGTCTCAGCCAGTTCTGTTTGTAGAAGATTTGGCCAGATTTCTAGCGTCAGGATCAAAACTGGGGGGCTTCTGTAACTCACGAGCTGGACTACTTGGACTCTGAATGATGGAGCTTTGCTATGTCAATATTCTTTTTTTTTTAAAGATTTTATTTATTATTTGACAAAGAGAGACACAGCTAGAGAGGGAACACAAGCAGGGGGAGTGGGAGAGGGAGAAGCAGGCTTCCCGCCAAGCAGGAAGCCCTATGAGGGGCTCCATCCCAGGACCCTGGAATCACGACTGGAGCCAAAGGTAGATGCTTAATGACTGAGCCACCTAGGTGCCCCGTCAATATTCTTTCAAAAGAACTCCTGTTTCCTTCTGTTATAGGAGCTCCTAGCTAATTGAGGACTGAGCACTTCTAGGCAAAATTGGAAAGTCCATTTTTTTTTTTTAAAGATTCCATTTATTTACTTGAGAGAGCGTGAGCAAATGAAAGGGGGGCTGGTGGGACAGAGGGAGAGGGGGAAGCAGACTCCCTGCTGAACGGAGAGTCCAACGAGGGCCTCGATCCCAGGATCCTGAGATCATGACCCTAACCGAAGGCAGATGCTTAACTGACTGAACCACCCAGGCACCCCTATTTGTGGGAGTTTAGAACAGGTTCCCTCCTTGTGCTTTACAATGGTTGGATTCTCTGTTGTGGTGAAAGGAGACCCTTTGTGTCCACCACAGGGTACAGACCCTACCTACCTAGAAGGAAAAGGGCTTTCTGGATGCTCGAACACAGGCCCTCTCTGGCCCAAACCCACACATTCGTGGGATGTGGTGTTATTTGGGGTGCTGCGGTGGGCTTTGCTGGGGATACTAGGAACCAGGGTTGTGTGGTGTCACGTGATGTGATGTGTTGTGATATGAGGAATCTGACGACTGTGGCAGAGTCTTCTAGTAGTTACGCCGCTCCACTGGGATGTGGACCAAAGGCCCTCGGAGCAATGTTGACTGTCAAGATGAAGTGCTAGTGTGGTGGTTTCCTTATCTGTGTTGGTGGTATCTCCTAAGAAAGCAAGTCTTGTGGGCCGTTCTGCAGCTAGTCTGTGGGCAAACTTGACAATCACAATATTTTATGTCACAACAAAGTATATAAACCCAAGGCCCATGTGCACCCCCATACGTCCCATGCCTTCCATCCGTTATGGGGCAGAGGCAGGCACAGAATGAAGTTAAGTTTTATCCATTATTTTACAGCTTTAATAATGTTGACTATTTTACATGTTCTACTATAAAACCAATCACCACTCACATGCCAGTTCTGATAAAAGACAAGCATGATTTTAAAATATTCCCATGGTATTGGGGGTCTGTGGATGCTGTGTCCTGAGTTTGTGTCCCCTCAAGGCTCATATGCTGAATTCTCACCTTCAAGGTGATGTTGTCAGGTGGGGTCTTTGGGAGGTGATAAGGTGATGAGAGTGGAGCCCTGTGAATGGGGTGAGTGCTCTTATTAAAGGGACCCCCCCCCCCAGAGCTCCCTTGCCGCTTCCATGGTGTGAGGATAAAATGAGAATGCTACAGCCCAGAAGAGGGTCCTCACCCAGACATACTGGCACCCTGATCGCAGCCTTCCAGTCTCCCAAACGATGAGAAAAAAACATTTTTTGTTTATAAGTCACCCAGACTGTCATATCTGATCATAGCAGCCGGGATGGAGTATGACGGTGAACTTCAAGACGGCTTCAAGAACTTCAGTATTCTCCCAGGGACTTCCAAGAGGAGCTAAACTTTTCTGAGGATCGTAGGTCCTGGACCGCTGATGATTTGTATCATTTACGTATTTTCATAGCACGCAGCTTCCTCTTCTAGCGCACATTCAGGAACTCTGGTTAGAGAGCAGGTTAGCCCCTAGCTTTTTGGTCTTGGGTCTCCTTTCCTCTGATAGAGCAGTTCCTCTTGTTAAAAGCTGTCTTTGGGGCTGCCTGGTTGCCTCAGCAGGTGAAGCATCCAGCTCTTCGAGGTCAGCTCAGGTCACGATATCAGGGTTGTGAGATCGAGCCCCGTGGTGGGCTGCACGGTCCGCGGAGCATCTGCTTGTCAATCTCTCTCTCCTTCTCCCTCTGCCCCTCCCACTCCTGCTCTGGCGAGCCCTCTCTCTCTCTCCAATAAACAAATCTTTTTTTTTTTAAAGCTGTCTTTGAGCATTATTTATTCAATGAACAGATTCATTGAAAGGCAAGTTTTGTTTTGGTTTGGTTTTAGTTTGGCTTTAGTTAGCCAGCTCTAGATGTTTCCGAGGTAAATAGTCTGTCTTTGGAGCAATTTCCCCGAGAGCAAGTGTGAGGCGAAGGAAATGTGGCACCCGCGGAAGGTCAGTGCAGAAGGACAGCAAGGTTTATTGGAATCTAGTCTGCAGCCGAGGGATGAGGAGGGACGGGAGAGGAAAACCAAGGAGAGGTAGGGGAGGCAAGCTGGGGAGAAGAAGATGAGGGAGAACGAGGAGAGAGAGAGAGACACATACACACACACACAGAGCAAGACTGATTCAACTTCTCAATGCTCTTTATTGGTCCCCCTGCTTTGTTGTCATTGCAATCACCAACAGACGTCAACGTGGGAAGAGCCACAGCCTTCCTACTTGGCCCCTGCCTCTCCTGTCACCCCCCCCACACACACAATCCATTCTTCACATGGCCTCTAGAATGATGCAAATGGCTGGTGAGTTCCATTCCCTGCCTTCATTTCTCACCTTCATCTCTCATCATATCCCCGCCACCGCCCCTTGGCCTTGAACCTGTCCAAGTGCCACCCTTGATGGGGGAGGATCAGCCCTGTCGAGGTGCCTGGGAGAGAGAGTCAGAGTGATCTTTGCTTGCCATTGAACCTGCCTGGGTTCCCGGTGGGCTCCCTGACCTCCTACATCTTTTTCCAAGGGACTTGGAGTCATGTTAATGGTTGGAGAGGGTGAGACCCTGCCCTCTAAGAAAGGAAGCCAGAGAGGAAATGCCATTTGCTTTCGGTTCTTCCAGGCTGTCCCGAAGATCTCCAAGCAGATACGTGTTCTACGTCACTCACAGATGAAATTTCACACGGAGCCACATTTTTTTTTTTTTAAAGATTTTATTTATTTATTTGACAGACAGAAATCACAAGTAGGCAGACAGGCAGGCAGAGAGAGGGGGAAGCAGGCTCCCTGCTGAGCAGAGAGCCCGATGCAGGGCTCGATCCCAGGACCCTGAGATCATGACCTGAGCTGAAAGCAGAGGCTTAACCCACTGAGCCACCCAGGCGCCCCCAGAGCCACATTTATAACTAAAAGGAGAGTCTGTTTCCTACTGCAAGGTGCTGGCTAAGTGCTCTACCAGAAACATTTAGATCATCAAGGTGTTGTCTACCAGTTTGTGGAGTGCTTTCTAACCACGGTTTTTCTGTGTCTGCTGTGTTTAAGTATTCATTGCTGGCAGTGTTCCTCAGGAGAGCGGTCCCCTTGCCCTTGACCCCGCGCCCTCCCCTCACATCACAGAACACTTCTGCCCTGCCGTCTGCTTCATTTCCGTGAAGGTGGCCTGGGCCTTTTCTTTGATGGTGTCCAAGTCCATGTTCTGGAGGTTCTGTAAATGCCCAAGAATAGAATCCTTGTCTTCCTCCTCGATTTGATCTTCATCCACCATTTTCCGGAGCTCTTCGGGCAGGTCCACATCGTCTCCAGCCATTTGGATCTGGTTCTCGTCCATTTCACTCTGTGTCAAACACAAACACGGAGGAGATGAGCCACTGTCCCACAACCAAGCCACCCACAGAGTCAGAGTAGCCGCCAGAGCACCGGTGGGGGCTGAACGACGGGGACGGCGTCTCTCTCCGGCTGGTGGCGGGGGCTGCGGGTCGTGGTTCACATGCCCCCTTCCACTGCACCTTGGGCCGACCAGATCTTTCTACAACAGTGGTTCTCAAAGTGTGGTCTCTAATGCTGCTGGAACACGGTAAAAAGACGGATCCTCGGGTCCCCAAACCAGCGGAATCAGAAACTCCTGGGCGGTGCTCAGCGATCCGGGTTATAAGAATCCGTCCCCTCCAGCCCGCCAGCAAAGCTTGAGAACAACACCCTGTACACTCCGCCTCAGGGCAGCTGTGCAAGCTTTGCAGTCTATCAGCCCCAGGCTGTGACTCAGTGGTTCCCGTGGGCAGGTCCCGCCCTGGAGGGTGGGGTCTGGTCTCACAAGGCCTGGCCAGACCACAAGCCAGACCACATTCAGTCACCGTGGCAACTTCTGCTTGACCTTTGCCCCTTCCCTCCCTCCATTTAGACAGGGGGCCCCTTGTGGGGCACAGAATCCGTTCAACCCCACAGGCTCCGTACCTGGAAGCAAGTCGGGCACATGGTGCCTGTTTATTAAGGGACTCGCCGGGGCGTGGCTGTTCCCAGCACCCTTCCCCGCGCCTGCCCCCGCCGCTGTCTGCCCCTCACAGAGATCAGGCTGGGATCCCACCAGTGACTGCTCCAGAATTTCATAGTGCGTGCTGCGTGGTGTTAGATATTCCTTTACCCCTTTGGCTTCAAGCCTTTGTTTCTTAAGGAGAGAGGAGAATCTACAGAAGTTTCTCTGGGAGGGGCACCTGGGCAGCTCACTGATTAAGTATCCGACTCTCGATTTTTGGCACAGGTCATGACCCGATGATCTCAGGGTTGTGAGATTGAGCCCCACATCGGGCTGCACACCCAGCTTAAGCTCTCTCGTCCCTCTCCCTCTGTTTCTCCCTCCTCACTCCCTTTCTGAATGAAAAAGTTTCTCTGGGAAAGGTAGGGATAGTGTATATCCCCACGTGGCCCTATCAGACGATTTCTGAGGTCTGGTTGTAACAGGAGGCACACAGGGCTCCAGGGGCCCAGAAGCTTACAGAGCGTCAGAAAAGCAAAGGGTCGGGAAGATCTCAGCAGACTTTGGGGCTCGCCCACCTCCATGTGCTGCAGCCAAAGCGTGTGAAAACTCTCATCAAGATAAAACGATCGCCTAGTTTTAATCAGACCCTCATTGATCTGATTTTAGAAAGATCTTAGGGCCCCTTGGGTGCTAGAGTCAACACCTAGAGGAAAATATGAATTCCCCTTGCCCGGGTGCTGAGTAGAAAAGGCTATAAATAGGAGCGCCTGGGTGGCTCAGTGGGTTAAAGCCTCTGCCTTCAGCTCAGGTCATGATCCCAGGGTCCTGGGATCGAGCCCCACATCAGGCTCCCTGCTCAGTGGGAAGCCTCCTTCTCCCTCTCCCAGCCCCCCTGCTCTCTCTCTCTCTCTCTGTGTCTTTCTCTGTCAAATAAATAAACAAAATCTTCAAAAAAAAAAAAGGCTATAAACAGACATTGGTTGTCTCTGGGTCCAAAGAGCGAGTCAGGGTAAGGGGGACACTCTATTCTCCATCTGTAAAGTGGCTCTCCAGGGCCTTCTCCAGCCCTAGGGCCCCGTGGTTCCCCTCAGAGCTCCTTCTTTTGGTTGGGTCTCTGGTTCCCTGGGCGAAGTGACAGCAAGCCTGTGTGGGAGGCAGGATTCCCATGCGGGGGAGACATACCCCTTTGGGATGTACGATCCTCGATCCTCGCACAGACCCTCCACAAAGGCCCCTGGGAGGGTCCACCCTCCACCACAGCCTGCTGAGGGAGAGAAGCCTCTCCCTGCACTTGGCCAGGCCTTGGTCCCTCAAAGCGCTTAATGGATTAATTAGTTCCTCGTCAAACTGTTGTGGGGATTAATTAGTTAGTTAATCCTCAGGGCTCCCAGCCAATCTTCCATCTCTATTTCTTTTTTATTTACCTAGCCTAGAGGTTGCCTTTCTTGCTGATCGTTTTCTGGGCAATTTTGCAGGGAGGGGAGGAAAGGCGGGACATCAGCCTGGCAATTCTCAGTTCCTGTCAATGCAGGACGTCTCCCCTCTCTTACGCACCCTGGAATAAAATAAATAATGATTTGAAAAGGCACTCTTGGGAATTCTGGCACTGCCTCCCTTCCCCTCTGGTGGGGAATAAGATTTCTGTGGAGTCCGTGGAGTCCAGACTGGAAGGAGTAGCCTGGAGGGACAGGTAGCTGGAAGGTCGGGGGCCAGCCAGCTGGTGCTCAGAGAGCTGGGCTGCTCCTGAAGATAGTGCTCCCCTGTCTCGCCTTTGGGGGGCCCTGCAGCTTCCTGCCTCTGGGGAGGTCTGGAAAGAGTACCTCCTTCAGGGAGGAGTTTCGGGTTTATTTTCTCCTCATTCCCCTTGCCGAGGGAAGGGAGAGCGTTGGGTTCCATTTTGCCTTACAACTCACGGAGGGGCTCTTGATCGGGACTTTTACCAAACTGTGTCTCAAAGTAGGGCTCCCAGGCCAGCAGCATGGGCTGCTGGGACCTTGTTGCAAAGGCACATCCTCACCCGGAACTGCTGACTCAGAAGCTGGAAGGGCGGGCCCAGCAATCTCCGACTTCTCGAACCCTCCTGGTGACTCTGGTGCGTTTAAGAGGCCCTGCTCCCTTTTTCTTGAAGACAGGACCATAACTTACTTCTCTGCAAGGTTCCAAAACAAGCAGAATGCCTGGCATGCAGACACAGACGGTGAACGTTTACTGAACGATTCCATGAGCCAGTGTTCCGGGACTGCAACGGCCTTAACGATCCTTAAATGGGCAGGTCCACTTTGCTGTAAAGAGCTCTATGTCGCAGCTACTGACTTACTGGCCACTGCCGCTGGGCCAGTGCCCTGGGAGGTCAGTGTTGGCTTGAGAATCAGATTGCCTGAGCGGAAAAGTTACCGCCACCACTTACATGCTGTGTGACCTTGGGCACCTTACATAACCTCTCTGAGTTTTTGTGGGTTTTTTTTAAAGATTTTATCTATCTACTTGACAGAGATCACAAGTAGGCAGAGAGGCAGACAGAGAGAGAGAGGAGGAAGCAGGCTCCCCGCTGAGCAGAGAGCCCGATGTGGGGCTCGATCCCAGGACTCTGGGATCATGACCCGAGCAGAGGCTTTAACCCACTGAGGCACCCAGGCGCCCCAACCTCTCTGAGTTTTATTTCCTATAAATTAGGATTCTACTATTGGCCTTAGAGTTGTAGAAGATTAATTAGATGACACCTGCATTATTTGGAGTGCATGAAGCAGTCACCCCCAGGGGCTGCTCGGGAGCAGAATAACCCTCAGCGCTGGGCTGGGGATTTGTGGCAGACAACCGTGACTCCTGCACATGGCAGTCAGCCTGACCAGAGGCCTTGCTCTCTGGGTACCTTCACCTCTGGCCTAGAAATGCACCTCCTCGCCCCCTGCTTCTTTCACTCCACAGTCAAGTTTCTGGCAGGCTGGGCCCGTTCATTTCCTTTTCGGCACTAGGTCCTCAATTCTGGGACACATCTACCGGGACTCCCTTAGCCTTTGTCATCCCATGTGCATGTTTGTGGGACCCAGAGGATGGCCCAGACTCACGACCAGCCATCCTTTTCCCCCCACCGCTGGGTCTGTCCCTCCCTGGGAACTTTATGTATGCAGAGCCCCTGCCCACCCCTGGAGGCTTAGCAGGACATCGACCAGCAGCTCACTGAACTCTCCAGGGCACTGGCCCCGAGACGAGGCCTGAAGCAGTCTCCACAAATACATTGAGGCAGGGAATTTGGACCTCTGGGAAGCTGGAGTGTGGTCTAAAATAGGGATGTGGGGGGCGCCTGGGTGGCTCAGTGGGTTAAACCTCTGCCTTCGGCCCAGGTCATGATCTCAGGTCTTGGGATCGAGCCCCGCATCAGGCTCTCTGCTCAGCAGGGAGCCTGCACCCCCCCCCATCTCTGCTTGTCTCTCTGTCTACTTGTGATCTCTCTCTGTCAAATAAATAAAATCTTAGAAAAAAATAAAAAATAAAAAATAAAATAGGGATGTGGGCTCTGGGCGGGCCTGTCCCTGTGGCCCTGTAAACTTTGCACCCCCATGTGAAGGAATGTGGCCCAAGGCACACATCTAAAGCATGGGGCCCAAGGCAGGTGGCTCCAACTGTCCCGTCTAAAGGCAGTGTGCAGCGTCGTCATTGGTTAGGGGCCGAGTCCTACAGTCCCCCTCCTAGAAGGACAATGTTACTGACCTCTATCAGCAGCACCATTGCTTCCAGTGATGACCCAATAGCCCTGGGACCCATTTCTCTGGGCTGTGGGTTCCTTATGACTGAGGGCAGGACAACCAGACAGGGCCAGTGAGCAAGTAATTAGAGGACAAAATGAAACCCTTTGGGACCAAATCTGGGCCCCAGCCTCCTTAGCACTGGGGCCTAATGTGGGCTGGCCCCAGGTCCAGAACAGGCCAAGGGCGAGGGTCCTGTTTGTAAAAAGGGGTCTGGGCTTCTAACAGCCTCCTGCAGCGGACTCAGACCGCTCCCCTGCAGGGGTGGCATGCGGCCAAAGACCCGGGTTCGAGCCCCAGCTTTGTCACTCGCCCTCTGCGTGACCTTTGGCAAGTCACCTTACACTCCCCATGCCCGTGGATTCTCAGAGGGTTCCCAAGCAGATGGAGGGAGCTGGGATGTGAGACGGTCTTGTAAGCTTTTAAGCCCTGGACAAGCAGGACTGTGGTTACTCACATTTTTGAGAAAAAAGGGCAGCTCGCCGTCACCATCCCTGCTGAAAGGATCCCTGCGATTGAGAAGGCACAGATAGGGACACAGAGGGTGGAAGAGCACTGGCCCCTTGGGAGAAAGATCCAGAGCAGAGCAAGCCACGAAGAATAGAAGCAGCCTTGTCC